TCAGGTTCTGTACCCAGTATGAGGGCGAGATTGCTCAAGTGGTTAGAGCGCGAATTCACCGACCGGAAGGTCCGTGGTTCGAACCCGACCTCTGCCTCTCGACTTCCCCTGTCTAGGCTTGGGCAACCTGACAGTATCCCAGCCCTCGTGCTTCGGGTGGCATAGCAGCTAGGCTCCGAAAGGGCGCTACAGCTAGACGATTATTATTATTATTTTACGGTCGTTTTATCACGGGCCCCCCAATCTACCGCGTTTCAGGTTGCACCAGGGTATACGACGGCTTAAGCTACGTTCCTGGGAAAAAGGTCGAGTGATGTCGAATAATTGCTCGCAACGGTTCCTGACGAAACTTGACTGGCTCACTCTCATGAGAAATAGCAGCGAGGGATAAGGTTAAAAAGGAAAATATTTCCATTAAAAATCGAGATGGAGTCAGCGCATATTCTAGAACTGAGCAAAACAAGTTCGTTTCGTAATAAAGACTTGTCTGCCATTCATCTTTCATTCTAACTTTAAAACGACAGTTCGTTCGAAACCCTTTGACTGCTTGCCATCTGCCATTTCGCTAACCACGAATGCTATTGTCAGTGAACAACAATAGTGAAATATGTATCATTATTGTCGCTGTTTACAGATGCACCGTTCGTGGCTGATTATGGTATATATATATATGGTCAAGCAGTTAAACTGGAAAGTTTCAAACACTATCTTTCGTAATATCGGAAGTAGCCTCATTTGGATCTGTTGAAAGTTAAGGTGAGGTGTAAAACAGATATCAGTTGACCGGTTAAAAATGGAGATTGCTTTAGCCAAAAGTTAAGGAACGCTTACCCTGACGTGTGCAACATTCAAGTTGAATCCACCGTCAACAAGAGTGATAGTCAGTTTGGGACAGGCAGCATGAATGTCATTCAGCAAATGTTCCAAATCAGCTCGCACGTCTCGACTGGTCGTAGCATCTAGTCGGTGGCGTTTGAGATCAGAGTTCAGATGAGACCTTTCGGAAGGCGATAGACAAAAAAATGGATGAATCCTAACGAAATACCCGGAAAAAACACCAGTCTTTCCGTTAGTCCCTTTGGGTTGATTGCTATGAACAAATAAACAGACTAACAATGAATGGATCAAATTTCCTCTGGGTGTGACCGAAATTCAGTAGAGAGATCAGTGTTTCAAATGAACCAAAGAGTTCCCAGTAGACTCAATTTAATTGGTGTGGACAAGCGCTTTAAATAATGCCCCAAATAAAAATTCCAATTTTTTGACGGGCCGATGCGCTTTAGACTCTGTCAGCCTGTCTGACTGGACATCCCCCGACTAATAGTCTGTCCCCAAAAAGGATATTCACAACAATCTATTTTCGTGCCTTCAGTGTGCGACTCATCCCAAACACGCGTACGGGCTTCAAACAGTCGTTCGTTCAGTACTGAGCTCATACGAAAGACGCACTCCCAAGGCAACGTTTCATGACACACTCTAATAACTTCTAGAATGACTACATTCCAGTAAAGCTGTACGACATAAAATCCCCCCATATGTTTATTTGAAGTAGTCGATAGTGCCTAACTGTGCCGTTTCATAGTACTCAATATGTTCACTAAAACAGCAAGTAGTCGTCGGGTTTTACAGAATAGGCAACGTTGGTATGATGTGACTTGAGTAAGCAAGTAGGCTGTCATCTAAAGGTAATAAAAGGTTTCTGAATCTCTCGCTGCTGTTGAATCTCTCATGAAAGCCAAATTGATACACAAATGAGTGTGACTGTTCAATTTGAGTTCTAGCAGAATCTCTGGGACTGCGCCCGCCTGATGGGTCCCAATAGGGAGAAACAGGTTGTGGGCTGTCGAAGAGTTTTCAGCAACCTAGTGAGTAGTTTGCTTTATTAAAATATACTATATCTCAAACATACTGAAACATAAGGTGGCCTTCGTGCAGCATATTCATTTGAAAAACATCAGATACGCGGGATTCACTTGAGTTTCCGTGAAAACCAAATTGATGTGCATTTGTCGAAAACTTAGATATACTTCCAGGTTGTGGCTGTCGAAGAGTTTTCAGCAACCTAGTGAGTAGTTTGCTTTATTAAAATATACTATATCTCAAACATACTGAAACATAAGGTGGCCTTCGTGCAGCATATTCATTTGAAAAACATCAGATACGCGGGATTCACTTGAGTTTCCGTGAAAACCAAATTGATGTGCATTTGTCGAAAACTTAGATATACTTCTGACATCTCTGGCTAGTTCGTGCCCAGATTTCCTAACCCACGCACATCAGAGGACGATTTTGTTCGGCACCATGAGAGTTTTCTCTTAAGGAGAGTCTGCGTACCTAGCCTTGGTCGTAACAACTACACGTTGGCGTTCGTTTCCGAACGAGACCGGACGTCTGCTCTGTGCTAGAAACTTACAGGCTACATCAAATACTCAAAATGAACACAGTATGGGATAGGACTGGGCGAATTCACGGTTGTTAGAAAGACTTGTCCGGGTGAAAAATTAATTCACTGAAAATGATGTTGTGGGTTTTGAGGAATTCGAGAGCAGTGCATCTAACGATACGAAACCTCACGCAATTCTCAATAAAAGCTTGTTCTCATCACAGGTTGATCTACCTTGAAGGATTTCGGCAGTTTCCCTTCGGTTTAAGTTGCAGGAATTAGTAAGTCAGATTTCATGTATGCGTGCCAATATATTAGAAGTTTCCATTGATGTAAACGAGGGGTTTGGACAACTACACAGTGTGTATGCTACTTGCAAACAAGTGGCAGCTAATTTAACAAGGTTTTTAGTTTAGACTCACAGCTTCACGATATGACGGCTGAAAAGTGCATTATTTACCTCCGGAACACCGAACATGTCAATAGTCCACCCAAGATAGTATGTGTCCTTTCCCAATAACGGTTACTCCAACGCTCCGCATCACTTCTGTCAAGGAGCCAACTGGTTCGTCTGGGTTCTTGCTCTACAGATACGATCGGATCTGTGGAGTCGCCCAGCTCAGTAGATGAGGAAATCCCGCCAAATTCCAGCTGATCCACTGTCGTCAGAAAACTCAGCGCCTGATGCAATCCCAATTCCCCCATGCGGGTGTTCATACGAGCGGTGTGCATGAGGCTCGCAAGTTGATCCAGGGCGTCAAGTGCATCACTAGAGATAAAACGATTGAACCCATTTGGTGAGCATTCGTACCACTAGAATGCACGGGAGAAAACCAGTCTGTTTCATAAACAGCGATAACCGGATTAGAATAATCTGCCCATTTCTTGGCGGCTAATGGATGCTCTTGAATAAGGGCTGCCTCACTTACACCTAGGGTGATCACTGAAGAATGCCGGGTAAGGAGTTAACTTGCTTCATTTGACCGTTTTTTTTCGAGGTGATGTCTCAGTCTCACACAATCAATCGGACGCTTCGGTCGATGCAGATTACTGATACTCACTGATTCACTGACTCAAAGAATCTCTTTCTTCGTGGCTAAAGTTTACAGGTCTCGAAAACAGTAGATAATGAAAGATAATATTAGTGCTGCTCATCAAAATACCCGATTAAAAGTCTTCGCAGGCAAAGCCCGTTTGAAACTTTGGTTCAATTGCAACAGTAATCTGTAGAGCATGCCCCACAAAAATGAGTAGATATTTAGTACTACGAGATGCACACTACGGCATTTTCAGGTGAGATTTCTACGGAAAATTAGAGCCGGGTCCGATTGATCCTTGATTGATCAGAAGGGTTGTGACTCACTCACAATCAAGCAGAAGGAAGTAAGAATATTCTGTAGGCATTCACATAGTAAGCATACTGATTGGCTAAGGATCACTCTAGCAATGTGTCAAAGCAACCGATATGATCGACTAAACACAGGACCGTTGGTGGCAGTAAACGGAAGGTCCACTATGAGTTACAGTTACACAAACACCGCATCCAGTGTTCGCGTTTAAAAAAACAGTATTGACAAACCTTATTTGTAATACCGTCTTGTGTAAATGCATCGGCTCGGTGAGTTCCTTGGTCCTACCGAAAGAGGTAGGTCGACTGACCGAATATGGAAATTTGTTATCCGAAGTCGTAACAGTGGGACTTGGAACCAAACCGAGACGCGTAGTACCACCGCGTCTACCTTCACTATCAACATCGGGTCCTTGATAAGCATCCTCCTCACTGGTATCATCTGTTGTGGAATCAACTGCCACTAACAACCGCGTCACCAAAACCCGCAAACGTTTCACTTCTTTCAGACTTTCTTGTGCCAACTTCGATACGCTTGTCTGAAGCAAGCTTGAGGAAGCCATTAGGGTTTGGGGGAGTGCAAAAGGTGGTATGTTGGGGTTAACATTTAAAGGAGCGGTCTCGGAAACACCTGTACTCATTGAGGTGTGTCCAGTAAGAGTATAGGGTACTACAAAGAAGCTGGAACAACGCCTTGCCCCAATGACACTACAGCGACTAGCCCAAGCTGATCGTCTGTAGGAAGCACGCGGTGCAAGCCGACTATCCAGACGGGGAAGGCCTGAAAATAAGATAAATTATACGTTTATAGTGATCAACAACCCAAAGTACATAGTCATGTTTTCATGAAATGCATAAATCGCGCTAGGCACTTAAAGCAAGCATGCCAACGACATTAACATTCATCTTTCAGGGTATGCGAATTCACTTCGCTACCTTCTGCGTGAACAAAATCCGGCTTCCTAGGTGTTCCGAGTAGCAGCTGCGGTCCGCTTGAGACTCTCGGAGGTACCAATCTAGTGTTCGTTCCAGTAGAATGGGTCCTAGACGGCCTTTGGACCCACGCGTTCAATTTCGATCCAGGTTTGCAACTGACCACTTTGGCAACAACATTCCTGCTGCGTTTCAGGAATAGTGACAGGTTTGATGACCTCCGTATGTGGACAGTGGAGAACAATCGAGGCCAACTTTTCTGAATGGACTGTTCGAGTCAAAGAG